AGAGGGAGAGAGGGAGAGAGGGAGAGAGAGAGAGAGAGAGATAGAGAGATAGATAGATAGATAGATAGATAGAGATAGAGAGACACAGAAAGGAAACAGAGTGATAGAGAGAGAAAAACCCAGAGGCTCAACCACCTTTTGGTCCATCAGTGGGTTCGCTCTGCCACCCATGCATCACAACCCACCTTGCCTATAGGTTTCCTACCTGTGAAGTTTCCGCCATCGCCTTGCGCAGTACTACTGGCAACCGTATTTAAAGTTGGAACCTATCTATATATGGGATAACCCACGAATCGGGGACTTACTAACCAGGGTATACCCTCTGGTACTTAAACATGGCTGGCTGGAAAATTCCGCATTCAGTTCTTTACTTCTATGATTTCCCGAGCTATAAAACTTCCGTTTAGTTCGGGGATGTCCCATTGCCATGTTTGATTATCGGACGGTGGTTCAATGGGTAGTTAGATGGGCAGTGAAATGGGAAAATGATGGGTAAAATTGAGCATCCCCGAAGTAAATGGAGGTTTGAATGGGACAATCATCGAACGAAGTGGGGATATGTCCAGCCAACTATGTTTATAAGGTTATGATTTACACATCTGCTGTGGGTTCAAGCAGCAACGCGGTTGAAATAAAACCCAATTGGTTGATGATTATCGTTACCATACGCTCCACACGCTCTGGTAATCAAACATGGTTGGCTGGACAATTCCCCGCTTGGCTGAACAATGATTTTCCCATTTCACTACCCATTCAATTTGGGGATTTTGCAGACAACCATGTTTGACTACCGGAAGGTAGGTTTCTTTCATTGATTTAAGCAACCAAAATTGGGATGATGACTGGGTTGACGATTCTTGCCATTCTCTGGGGATATCAGATGGGGATATATTGAGATATATCACCAGCACAGTGATGTTTCAGATGGTTTGATAGGAAAACATAGACCCCGATATATGCTGGGATACAAACTGGGATGTAACGACCAACTATATGGTTTGGGTACCTGTTTCAATCACCCTGGCGTTGGTTGATATTATGTTGGGCAACCATTGGGGGGTGAAATTTTATTGCACTCCCTGAGCTGCGAATCCCAATAAAGACCAACCACTATTGGGATACTTTCCAATAGTTTTTGACTCATTTCGGATGGTTTTAGGACGGTTTACATGGGGTGAATTAACAAATAGATGTCGAAAACATGGTTGCCTAGGAACATGATCTGCGAACGGTCCACAGATTTTCCACACACAGACACCACAGATTTTCCACACATCTATGTATATAAACATTTACAGGAGGATCCAAAAACGGGGTTTCAAACGGGGCTCTGAAAACCCCGCCAAGCCGCAGCCCGTAGCGCAGCCCGTCGCATCGCCAAGGTTCTTGGGCCTGAAGGACTCTCCGGCAGGCTACCAAGCAGCGCTCTTGGTGCCATCCCTATGGATGTTTGGTCTGGTGGTAATTACTGCCATGCTCTTCGAGTGGCTCTGGTGGAGCCCCGGCTCTGAAAGGATGATTGACTGGAAAAACCACGACTAGGACACGATTTAAATGGGGAAAATATGTGGAAGTTTAAAGCATCAAATCATAGCCTTCGGGAATGTGTTACAGACTGCTATGGAAAATGACCATTGGAATAGTAGGCCAATGATCGTATGAAATGGGCCCTGGCTTCCATAGCAACCTGCTAAATCAGAGGGTAAGTTGTAACTTTCCCAAAAACAACAAGGGTAAGTGACTGAGAATGAACTGTATGCTAGACCGGCCCCGCGACATTTTTACAAGGACAGTGTTGGGTTAATTGGGGTTTGTCCAGGAAGGGGGATTGAACAACAACAAACTTGGATAGGTCCGAAAATGTTTGGATGGGGATGGGGGTGAGAGTCACATCATCGCCTTTCTTGGTGGTTCAAAATCCCAATTACTTTGAGGACATCTGCAGAAACCTGGCAACCCTAGTGACCGAGTGATTTTGATGGAAAAAACCATACACTTTCCCAATCTTTTTGGGTTGTCATTCCACAAAACTTGCAGCCAGGAAAGAGGACCCATGGAAAGAGCCTGGAAACTTTGGAGATCCTTTGGGCCTCAACATGTATGATCGCGACATGCGCAACCGGGACGGGCCGGGGGTGGCTCCCACATCTCAACGGGGGGTTCCTTTCAATGCACCGGAAAAGAGGCAAGGTACGATACGAATTCCAGTTGAGTTTGGATCCAGTTTTTTCTTCGTTTGTATAGCAAGTTTTTCGTCAATATCAATCCCAAATGGCCCATCTGGGTGTTTCTTAAGTCATGGAAGATCCCCAGTCGCCGCTATGGGTTTCAATACTGACTGGTCATCCATGACGACTGGATGATGCAAGGGGGCCCCATGACTTAGGAAAGCCCCATATTACCCATGATTCACCATTCACTAGTATATATGAACCATTATCAACCACTATTATCCCATATTTCAATAAAACCACTAAAATACCCTCTGGTAAACATACAAAAAGCCATTGAACATTTCCAATAGATATTTATATACATATAGTTGGTATTTACCTATGAATCATGGTGATTTTCCATCGTTTTTTGTATGTCTACCAGAGGGATAATCCGATAACAACTAGGAAAGCCGCAGGAGCTGAACAACGGGCGCTTCGCGATGTTCGCCACCAGCGGTATTCTCGCGGCGGAGCTCTATACCGGGCAGGTGCGGATGATTTGGTGGGAACCCCCTAGGAATTCTCGGGAAATTTGGGAATTTCGGAGCAAAAAAAGATGGGGGAGTGCTTCAAACCTATCGTTTTTCATAGATTGTTTGGGAAAATGAACATATGAACTACCAGTTAGCTATTTTTACTGTGAACAGAAGGGTGGCTATGGCCAGATATTGCCTTGCCAAAACTGGTGACTTTTTTTTGGTGAGTTTAAGCGGGTTATACGGCCTCAAACAATTGCTAGGTATGATATGGGGATAATGTCTTATAGTTGCCAATCACGAATCACTAATTCTGGCAACATCTAAATCTAGTAAAAACGGATGCAGAAAAGGTGTGTATTATATATCTATCTTTCCTTCTTTAGGATTGGTTAGAATTTGCATCGTTTCGGGGGTTGCTATATTTATGGTGATGAGTGATGACCAACAAATATAGGGTTATGTAAAAACTCCTGCGGTAAAACCATGTATTGTATATATCATCGATCTACCCGATAGCGTTGGTTCAAAAAGAGCTGAGAGCTTAGCGGTTTGTAGTGCATTTTACCCCATTATCGGTTGACCTGGTAAAATACAGGTTATCAGCCGTAGTCTCACTACTTTGCTATGGGGACCCCAATTGACCATCCTCTCGCCGTTCCAGGATCAGGTCCATCGGCTGTCGCTGTGCCTAATATGGCCGGGGGCAACCCCGAGCCGATGGATGACGAAACAATGTTCCAACCCGTTGTTGCGTACTTTACCTTCATACAAAACAACCTGTCCCAGATTACTAGTGGGAATACCCTGCAAGTCATTAGGGAAGCTGAACAGAGGCACCTTCAGATAATGCATGGAGTAGTTGACGCAATTCGAAACGAATGGTCAAGTAGACTCGTAATGCAGGAGCAGGAGTATGAGCAAAGGCTGCAGGAGGTTGAAGGTAATGCCATTAGTGCCCTCAACGAGGAGAGGAAACGAGGCGACGAGATGGAGGTCAGGTTGAATCAGGCTCAGGCATCGCATGACAAAAGAATAGAGGATGTAAAGGCAGAGGCAAACACAAAGCATGATCAGAAAATTGCAGAGGAAAGAAAACGTATCACTAGTGAATTCGAAGCTTCCTATGCACAGACAGTTGAACATGCAAAGAATGCCATAGCTGCCACAAAGAAGCAATATGAAGATCAGGCTGCAATTGATCAGGCCAGGTTCATCAGTTTGAGGACCGAATTCGAGAACTACAAGAAGGAGATGGCCGACAAGATCAACGAGGCAGCGGCTCAGAACCTTAGCCTTCAGGACCAAATCGATGACCTTCAGGAGCAGTTAAAGCATGTTGCCAAAGCGCAGCATGCCTCCGTTCCGAAAGCATCCGCCCTGAATGCCGAGCCAGCCGCTACCACTAGCGTGCCCCACTTCAATATTGCCACTCCCAAAGCATCCGATGCACAGGCTGCCAAAGGCAGTGACGAGCCGATTCATGAGTTGAAGACGCCTGCAGTGTTGGCACAAGAAGCAAAGGCCAAGTTGGATGAGCTGCTCAAAGGTGGCAGTCCCAAGCAAAAGCCGGCTGTCGGCAACGACCAGCCCCAATTGCCAACGCAGTCAGGGTTTTTCACTCCCACTGAAGCTATCAAAACTCCCCCAAATGAATCTCCTAAGAGCGCAACCAAGCAACAGCAAGTAATGGGTCCCTCAGATCTTATTGAATTGGTGAAAGCCTTAACCCAAAGGGAAGAAAAGGATAAGCCAAAAACTAAGGAGGCTGAACTCATCAAGCTGAACAACATGCCCGCTCCGGAGTCATATAGAACTTGGAAGAATCATGTCAGGGATGAAGTGAAAAGCTGTTCAGATCGCCCGGATGAGGCGTGGCTCTGGCTTAACGAGGTGTACGATCAAGAGTGCACCAGAGAGCAGTTGGAGAAGAAACTCCAAGATCCTGGAAAGTTCCTCACGCTGGAGACAAAGTTATCAGCAGCGCTCACGCGCTCAGCCGGAGGGGACCTCGCAACTAGGATCTTGAATTTCAAGGAGCAGCAATCCCGAAAAGGCATCCAGGTCAGGGGAAGATATGTTCTGCTTATGTTTGAGGACTACTTCAAGACATCAGAAGAAGCAGGTAGCCTTTACAGAGTAGAAGATCTTTTGGGTGTTGTCAAAGTAGGCGATACTGTCCAGGATCTCCGAAGATTCATCAACAAATGGGATGCTACCCTAGCTGGCATGGCGGTCACCCCTGATGATGCTGTGCTAAGGGACATCTTGTTGAGGCAGATCCGACCAAGTCAGCTGCTGAAATATGACATCGAGGTGTTTGACCGTGCTCATGAGAAATCCCATGAAAAGTCTTACAGTTTTCTTCACCAATCCATGAAGAACTTGATCGATCGTGAACGATTGAGGGAGAACAGGAACCGCATTGCGGAGAAGAACAAGGCTGGGATTAAGGACACAAAGGCCGCACCTGCCAAAGGCGATGGTCGCGGCGGCCGAAAGGGCTCTCCAAGTCGCGGTAGATCGCAGGAACGAGGTGGCAAAGGTGACAAGATTTGCTATAAGTTCCAAAAGGGTACCTGTGATAAGGGGAAGAAGTGTCCATTCAAGCATGTCAAAGATGATAAATCTCGAACTCAATCACCCAGAAGAACCAAAACACGTTCACCATCAAGGGGCAATAAGGATGATAAGGGGAAGAAGATGTCTAAAGAAGAAATGGCTAAAACCCCATGCATCTATCATGCCCAGGGAAAGTGCAGACGTGGTGACAAATGTTTTTATAAACATGATGACAAAGCCGCTGCCGCCACCAAAGACACCAAAAGGGCCAATTCACCCGCTCCCAAGAAGAAGGGCAAGGATTCCACAGCCGCTCCATGTCTGATCCAGAAGTTTGCATGCATCGTCCGAAAACAGCCGAAGGCAACTTCGTGCTCTGATGAGGCAAGTGTCAGCATGAAGCGTCTTAGATTCCGAAAGGCCCCACATGTGATCGAGGTGAAGGCAGTCGGTCGTCAAGTCCCAGTCAAGCACCGTCCAAGAGAGTTCACTAAGGTGTACAAGACAGCTGAAGATGTTCCAGTTTCATCAAAGGTTGAACAGCATGAAGCTCAGGTTCGTGCAAGACAGCTCCAAGAAACTGTGAAACTTCATGATTCAGATGTTGCACCAAGTTGTGGGTTTTGTTGTTGGGATGAGGACACACGTGACATCACATGCAAAGAGTGCAGGTTCATCAGCGGTCCCAAAGCCCTTAGAGACATTGGTCGTTTCCCGTCAATTGCCACAGCTGCGCCAAAGGCCGGTGTTAGTTGGCTTGTCGACTCAGGTAGTGAATCCGATCTTGTGTCCAAAGGAATGCTGAGGGATGTAAGTGCCAAGAACTGCCGTGCAGCCGAGCATCCGATTTCCTTAGTCACAGCCAACGGTTCGACTGAGGCAAACGAAGTTGCTGATGTCAAGTTGTCCGCATTGCCAGATCCCGTGCATCCGTATGTGCTTGATCATACCCCAGCTGTGCTCTCTGTAGGAACTAGATGTGTAGATCAGGGTTACAGTTTCGTATGGCCTGCCAATGGCAAACCAATCCTAGTCCGTCCAGATGACAAGGTTGTCCAGCTCAAGATCGAAGGTCATGTCCCAATCTTGGATGATAGTTGCAAGGTTTATCCCAAAGATCAATTTCAAAAGGATAAGCACCTCAAAAAGTTGTTTGCAATGCCGACCTCACGGTCGAGCTCAAAAGCCAAGTGGGACGAAGCCCAAGATGAAGAGCAGTTGGATGAACTGGTGGAGGATGACGCTCAGCAGGAGTACATCCGAAGCCGAAAGACTGAGGATCTGTTGGCTGAAGCTGCAAGTACCCAACATCAGTACACGCATTTCCCCAAGAACCCCTTTTGCAGAACCTGCCAACGAGCAAGGATGATGGCACCTCAGGCACGAAAGAAGGGTGGTCAGAAGAGAATCGAAACTGAAGTGTTTGGTGACCACATCATTGGGGATCATGTTATCATCAAGAAAAATGTAGAAGAGGGTTTCAGGGGGGAGCAAGTTGCGTTGGTGTTGAAAGATCTGCACACCCAATATCGGTATGTCTACCCTAGCCAGTCCAAGGACTCACAAAGCTGTGTTGATGGTTTGAATCACTTCATTGGATCAAAGGATGATGTTCAAGTTGTGTACACTGACAATTCCCCAGAATTGATCAGGGCCATCAAGGATTTGGGTTACAGACACCAAACTTCCATTGAATACGTAGATTCATCAAAGTCTTTTGCTGAGCGCGAAGTTCGTCAGATGTTGGAAGGTGCCCGGAGCAACTTGTTGCAATCAGGACTTCCTTTGAAGATGTGGCCATTAGCCATGCAGCATCATGCGACCGCGATCAATGCAAGCCCCCAGCTTGACGGCAGTGATTCCCCATGGCAACTCAGGTTTGGTGAAGAGTTCCCTGCTATGCACATTCCATTTGGTGCCAAAGTGTTGTTCTGGAATAACCCCAAGAGGTTGGATAACACATCAGGTAAACTCTCCCCAACAGCAAATGAAGGAATTTTCCTTGGGTATTACATCCAACCAGGTCATGATTGGAAGGGTGAATACTTAGTTGCCAAGTTGGAAGCCGCGGATTATCATGTCAACTGGGGTGCACTGACAATCCAAAGAACAAAGAGGTTGGAATTGCCATCCGAGGGTTTCATCTTTCCTTTGAAAGCTCTGATCGACTCGAAAGCACCCAAAGCCGATCGCCTCGAGGACCAGGTCATTCCGCAGACACCCAAAGCTGTGCCTCTGGAGTCCAGTTTGCATCCACCGCAAGATGAGTATGAATACGAGCCAGGTACGCCTCTACCAGCCGACAGCGATGTCGAGCCTGATGCACCCGAAGCGCCCGTATTTCCAGATCTCAAATTGACCCCCAAAGGTGAAATTATTCCAGATGGACATCATTGGGATGGTCACCGGATTGTACGTAACTACAAAGGTTCAAAGCGTCCGGAGGGGAT